TCAGTGACAGGCTGTCACTGCGATCTCAGAGCGCTCTGATCGCAGTGACAGCCTGTCACTGCGATCAGTGTTACATGTGTCAGCCTAACAGACACCATGATCCCACTGCAGATCGGTAAGGGGAGTGCTTGTACCACCCAGGCACTCCCCCTGTGGTCAATTACCCAATCTGCAGCAAGTGATCACAGTAGAAGCCAGTCACTTTGATCACTATTACTATGTGTCAGCCAATGACCTCAGATCACTGGCTGACACTTTGTCTCTGCCCCTCTCCTCACCTCACTTGGAACATATCGGCTATGAAGAAAGGTTAACAAATTTAAACCTATTTAGTTTAGAAAAACGTCGCCTGAGAGGGGATATGATAACATTATACAAATATATTCGGGGCCAATACAAACCATTGTGTGGAAATCTATTCACAAACCGGACTTTACATAGGACACGAGGCCATGCGTTTAGACTGGAAGAAAGAAGATTTCGCCTAAGGCAAAGGAAAGGTTTTTTTACTGTAAGAACAATCAGGATGTGGAATTCTCTGCCTGAGGAAGTGGTTTTATCAGAGTCCATACAGATGTTCAAACGGCTACTAGATGCATACTTGCAAGAACAGAATATTCAAGGATATAATCTTTCAATGTAGGGTAATAACTGCTTGATCCAAGGATAAATCTGACTGCCATTCTGGGGTCAAGAAGGAATTTTTTTCCTAGCTTGTTGCAAAATTGTGCTTCAAACTGGGTTTTTTGCCTTCTTTTGGATCAACAGCAAAAAACAAATGTGAGGAAGGCTGAACTTGATGGACGCAAGTCTCTTTTCAGCTATGTAACTATGTAACTATGTAACTATGATCTGAGAGAGAGAGGCAGAGACATTGTTGGTTTTACAGCTCCTGTGAAAAGAAAAAAAGTTTTATTACTTTATAAAAGTTTTTAAAAATGTATTTTATTTAACCCTTTCAGTGCTGATCACAGCTTATTACTGTCATCAGCCTGACTAGGGCATCTAGTACTTTTGTACGTTATTTTAAAAAAAAATTTGGGTCAAAAAAAATAATTTCTCATTTTTTTTTACCCTTTGTGTCAGTTGCAGAAACCCAAATCTCCATTATCCCTTTCCCCGCTGCTGTGATCACTGTACTGTACAGTATATCTGCTGTACGATACTATATCAATGATCACTGTGATCAGAGGGCTCTCTGATCAGGCTGACCTTTTTTTTAGGGTTATTTTTTTCATAACTTAAAATAACCCTTTCAGTACTGATCACAGCTGCCTATACGTATTGTGAGACATCACTGAACAGAACTAGGA